TTCAAACCATTTTGAAATAGTATCTTCCCAAGTCTTGAAAACTCACAGAGAAGCATTTCTTGTTAATTTTATATTAAAAAAAAAAAAGAATTAAACAAAACTCGAAGTAAAATAAATGAGTGCCTGTTTTGTAAAGTAAACACTGAGTTGTTCATAGAGAACGTTTTTCCGGCATTCATACTTTTTTTTTTAAGGGGAAATAATAGTGTCTGTGAGTTGTTCAACATGTAACAAATGGTCACACAAACACTGGGAAAAGTCCAGAATATCAGAGATTATATGTTGGCTAAAACTCTGAAACGTGAGGATCGGTGAAATACACAACAAAAAAAAAAAAATCAACCCAATTACAATTATAATCGTCTTCCCTAACCTTCTAGGAGTTGGAGTGAGTGGTGATGAATAAGTCAAATCATAATATTCTAACAGTAGATGAGTAGTAATTATGCTGGGAGACATTCTGAGCTGGCTGAAGACTTTGCAAGTTCCTCTCTCTCCCTGAGAACACTTTAATTCAGAAAAACAGCAATTGTTTTAGAAGTTTTATGCATACAATTACCAGCTCCTCCAGTATTGTTGCCATCTCTAGAGTGAAATTTGCAGGAAATATTGGAAAGCAAATGCACACAGTGGCTTGGTACAGAAACTATTAAGTGAAAATTTTTGGCGTGAGTTGAGCAGAACAGACAACATGATCTCACGGATCCATTCTATATTTAAAAACTTGGGCCTGAATCAAGATTTGGTTATAGTCCTTTATGTTCACTGTGTGAACTTTTGTCTTCCGGCTGATATATAGTTTTTCATATGATATTAAAGAGCACAATGGAAAGCATTCAGACTTTAGTAGAAGATGGATAAAGGGATTGAAGTGAGATGAGCTGATCTAATAGTAGTATAATGAAGGATATTTAGATGCCTGGTGCAACAAACTTAATCCCTCCTTTCCCCGGTGTCTCTTATCATGCCATGGTTTACCAGTTATTTGGGAAACCTGAACTAACGGATGCAGCCAGGCCTGCTGCTGTTAGAGAACAGTGATATTGAACCTGAAAATGAAGGAGCAGAGAAGTGTCTGCTATCATGACAAACTCTATGGCTGCTCATTTGATTACTGAAACTTACAGGCTATATCACTGGCGACTGTAAACTGACATATATCTGTGCATGCCTGCATGTGCATGCACTCGAGCGCGCACACGCACACGAACAACCGAGGTCAGTGGACCTCCATCCAGTTATAACACTTGTGAATCTCTCTGCTGTATCAGGATCCTGCAATGCTGCCTTACACTACTCTCATTAATTCCCTCAGTAGCATTGTGCATGATTTGAACTTAAGAAATAACTCCCATTGATACAGAACAAATACTGAAGAGAACAAAGTGGATTGATTGGATTTATTTATTTATTTATTTATTTATTTTCAAAGCCTGTCAGATGAAAGACTGAAGTAAAAGAAGCAGCTGGTTGCTCAAGAAACTTGGGAAGCACTTTGACTAGGCATGAATTATACTGAAAAAAAAAAAAAAACTAGTTAAAAGCAGAAGGAGCTAATGCAAACAATATTGGGAAAGGGCTAGCAAGGGTTTAGAAGCAGAAAGCACTGCAAGGTATAACTGCAAGACTCAAAAGGCACGAAAGAATTGGTTTGACTTTCCATCCTCCATCTGCCAGTATAAACTCATATGTATAACATAGGTTGCCACTTCCAGCATAGGTTTTGTGGTTCTAACCTTCTGGCAAACAGATAAAAAAAACCCATTACAGTGAGAGCCAAACTCCTGTCAACAACCCAAGGAGAAGGATAGAGCTCTGGCTTCTATAATTTTGCATACAACCCAGATGGAAGTACAAGCATTTCTAGGCTGAAGTGCCAAATAACTCTCCCAAGGCTTATATGATCTTTTCTTGGTCTTGCCTCAGAACAACTTCCATGCTTCTGGGGACTCCACAGCTGCGTGCACTCTAGTGAAAGACCCTGCACGGCAAGCCAAGTCCTGTGAATTTGCTTTCCAGCTTCCGTAAGGAGGCTTCCCCTCCCTTCCAGTCTCATCAAGGATTGTTCCAACCAGCAAATGCAGCTGCAGAATCTTCACAGTTTCTTTAGAACAATTTTTAAAGGAAAATTTCCTCATTTTCTTGAAGCAAGCTGTTTTGCAAATGAAAGTACAGCAAAACGGTGGTGCCATAACTACCTAGGAGAAAGGTGAGGAAAACAATATGGAGAGGTTGTAAGATGGAAATTGGAACTCAGCAGGGTTGATAGCTTTTAAACATAAATCTGTAGTTTAATTATATTGTTTTAACCTTACTGCTGGCTTCCTTTGTTTTGAAGACCGTGAAGCCTGAGCTTCATGTTCCTGTAAATCAGAGGATTAAGACATAAAAAGATAATATGGAATGATTCCTACGCCAAAATCATCACTGTCAAATACAATCAAGCCTAGAAATAGCATTTCATTAAATGCACTTTAAGTGGAATTGGCTAATATTATCCTATACTTCCTTGTACAACTAAATGTTGATCTGAGAAAAGAGGCGACCTCCGGGTAAGGTCTATGTCAACTTAATCTATCTTATTTTAGTGCTAGGATATGCCCTTTGCCCCTTCTGGAGTAAATGTATTCCTTCCTAATTCGACAACATGATGACTGAGCTAGTAGTATTCGAGGGACACAGAAAAGCAGTCATACATTACAGAGGCACTTTTTACAGATAGCTGTAAAGAGAGTCTTGTTTTTAATGAATCTGTAATAGGAAGAGATTTCTGCTATATTGATTGATTTTATGCATTGGGCTGTGTGTGGTTGTTTTTTTGTTTTTTTTTTCCTGCATTCAAATTCAGATTCTGGTAATCTTAGTCTCTTTCAAATGAATTATATCTGGATAAAAATTCTTTTGCCTTCAAATATCTCAGAATTGGCTGTAGAGGAGGAGAGGGTAATCAATAAGATTTGTGAACTCTGTGGTGCTGTACAGCTTACCCCTTTTCCTCCTAGTGGTTTTGAGACTAAAATAAACACTGTTCTGTGCTGCCTACCTCTGGTTGCTCTGGGGCAACTCTGTAGATACTCCTAAGACGAGAAGACTTAGCTATGGGGAACTCTTCACACCACAGTGTGCTTGGGCCTGGGATCTGTAGATACCTCATTTAAGCTCTAGCATCAGACAAAGAAGATAGCCTGGGCTTTTCCTTGTAGAGTGGGCTATAGTTATTCATAAAAGGTCTCTGACATTACTTGTTGCATTGGGATTTATAGTCAGCCTCAGTACAGTCTACCCATAAGCTTTAGAAAAAAAAGATGCTATGGATTACAGCTCAGACCACGGAGAATGTCTTGAATTTGGAGAATAACTAAGATCGCTTTCCAGTATTATGCTGTAGATCTAACAATAGCGACCCTAAACATAAAATCAATAGCCTAGTCTACCATAAATTTCTTCCATTCCCTTACACAAGTTGTATAGCCTGTCTCTATCTAGTGGAGCATTTTAAGCTAGGGATGAAAGAACACATCCATTTTTTTTTTTTCTCAGAAATGTAGTAAGAATAAATTCAGAAAAATTGTAAAGTTCTCATATGCCAATCCAGGTTATTGTCAAGACAGACAACCGTACAGAGGATATTTAGTCTATGTTTTTGTGAGGGAAAGGGTGACTCTGAGCAGCTTGTTTTGATAATTGTTGATTGCACTGATGCACTCTTAGATATATGTGGGATTTCATTTTGTGTGGTTTAAGTTAGGTTAACATACCCAGAAGAGTTGTTAATGTTAATATTTGAAATGTGATATATAAATCTAAACAATGTTTCCTTGATGTTGCATGAAGGTTTTAGGGTTAAATTAGATAATAGAAAATAATTATTTTTAAAGGAAAGATAGAAAAAAAAAATCCTGTCTCATTCTAACCTGATTACATTTCTGTGTCAGGCTCTGTTGCTTGTTCCTACCTCTAGGTGCTGTAGAGTGGTTTTAGAGTCACTAGATGTGAGTAGTGGCCACGTCAGATCAGAATCACTGTGCCACCTCCTTCCCACTGTCTTGCCTACTCTACCTAGAAGTAAAATTTTTTTGAAGAATTAGTTTAGCACGAGTGAGAGCTCTACAGCTTCCGATATGTGGTCACCTTTCCTTACACATGGATTTTAACTTTTAAACCTTAATTCTTATTTGGAAGTATCCTACTTGCTTCATGCATGTGGTCATTATTATGAGAGAGATGCCTTCAGTATATCCCACCATCTATGAAAAGCATTCAGGAGAAACCTTTACCTTCCAGTTCGGCACAAGCAGGCTGGCTGCTGTGACTTATTGCTATCTGCTTATAAGGTTCATGACTAGCTGCTGGGGTGAACTGAAGGAATCAAACTGAAAGAAACTCTTTTACAATCTGATTGATGGATGGCTATAATCATGCACGTACAATTGGAACTATTGTTTCTCCCTGTTAAGGTCACTCAACACAGAGAATTGTGCTGTAAACTGAGGCAGGAATAAAAGGAGAAGAGTTTTGTATATAACAGCTAAGAAAAAAATTAGTCAAAAGATACAAGGTATCTTAGAATATGAGTAACCAGTACTTATCATATGCCAGACCCTAGTGATCATTAAAGATTATTAAACTCAGTTAGATAAAGTTCAAAGAAAAGCAATGAGAATGATCAGAAGGCTGAAA